GAGACTACAGATGGAGGGATTTGGGAGTACTGTGAAATGGCAGCAGAAGGGAAGGTTGTATAGGGTGAGGAATCAAGAGGAGAGCTGATACGCTTGTCTAAAGAGGTGAGTTTTGAGGGATTTCTTCAAGTCTTGTAGGGATGGTGAGAGCCTGATGTAGTGTGGGAGAGAATTCCATAAGGTGGGGGCAGTCTTGGTGAGGGCCTGTAGATGAGAGTTAGGTGTGCGGGTGAGTGGGCAGAATAGTCTCAGGTCATTAGTGGAACGTAGGGGCCGTTTTGGAGTATATCTTCTAATTGGGGCTGAAATGTAAGCCGGTGCGCGGTTATGCAGAGCTTTGCAGGTAAGGCTGAGAAGTTTGAAGGGTATACTAAACGAAACAGGAATCCAGTGCAGAGATTGACACAGGGGTGACGTATGGGAGGTAAGGTAGATGAGTCTGGCTGACGCGTTTATGATGGATTGAAGGGGGGCAATCTGGGTTTGTTTCAGGCCAATGAGAAGAAGGTTGCAATAGTCAAGTCGGGAAATGATTAGCGCATGGACAAGCATTTTGCTGCTTTCCTCAGTGAGAAAAGGTCACATTAGAGAGATGTTTTTCAGAGGAAAACGACATCTGGTATGGAGTTAAGTTACCCCCCTTAAAATCCATACCAGACCCCCTATCTGAGATAAGGGTCCGGTATGTATTTTTGAGGGACCACATATTGTTTCCTAAATTTTTTACATTTACGGTTACATTTTAGACTGGGGTGTCTTGAGAGTGTGCATATTTTTTAAAGGGTGTCATGGCTGAACTGTAGTGGAGAAACGCTGGTCTAGGGGCTCAAATAAAGCCGTTTACTCACCTGATCCTAGGTCCCGTGGCGGTCAGCACTGACCAGTCTTTCCCTCCGCTCCAGCTATGGAATGCCCCTTGATGTCCAATGGATCTGCATAAGACGTGATGACATCATTGGCCCTTAGACCACCGGAGCCCAGGGTAGAAGAGACTGTGCAGACTTGGTCTAGTAGCCAGGTAGGAGTCAGCGGGAGCAAGGGTCAGGTAAGTAAATCTGCTTTATTTGAGGCACCTGGACAAAACAAGCACTAAGCCCTGGAAGTCCGGGGAAGCCCCACTGCAAGGGCACGTTTTTGATTTTCCTGGAGTTCTTCTTTAAACATTTCAAATTAAAGCTGATCATAAACTTTTAGACATTTGTTGGAACCTTTGTTCGATCTTGT